AGACCCGATTCTGGAATGGAGAACTAAGTACTTAATTTCTGGGTAAAAGTCTTCAGAATGAATGCTCGCTGTTGGTCCATGTGAATTGTGGTGATCCGTGGCTTAGAGAAGCTGTCTGCCAGGAACCTGCCACACCTTTACCTTCCAGAAAGCACGGGGGAAAGCTGGAGTTGTCCATGGTCTCTTTCTGGGAGAAACAAGGCTGGAAGTCCAGCTGCCAGGCTGGACTCTGATGGCTGGGCTGGGTGAAGAGGGGCTTGCAAAGGTGCCAGCCCAAAGAGCCGGTTGCTCTCACTGAGGGTGCCGAGGCAGGTGCCAGGCCAGGGCTTGGGGATTTCTGGTCTCCTTGGGAGAAGCAGAAGCTGCTTTTCTTCATTGCCCAGTGCTACCCACTTTGTGGGGATGTCTCGGTGTCCTTGGACTAGCACAAGAATGCAGTCGCAAATGGGCTCGGGCTTCAGCTCCTCCACTAAAGCCTTCAGGTTCCTGTTGTGAGGAGTCCAGATTTGCCAAGCCCTGCTTGCATCAGCGCGCTCGGACTCTCCTCCTTCCCCACTGAAAGCAGGCACAGCAATGGCTGGCAGCTTGCTCTCTGAGCAGCTCTGGTGGACCCTTCTAAAGGAGCAGTTTTCTTGCAGTAAACTTTTTTTCCCCTTTGCGTGACTGCTTTGTACCTGTGGTTTGCTTTTAAAATGGAGTCTCCCTACATGGCTTGCCTGTTTTTGTTTGTTTGGGGTTTTGTTTTTTTAAATAGACCCAGACTATAAGCACTATTTCAGAATGGTGTGCTTCTCAAGCATAAATTCACAAGAAAGTTCTTGGTCCAGGTCTGGACAAGTCCATGTTTAACCACATGGGGAAAAGATGCCTGAAACCTCAGTGTTACAGCAGCAATATTGAGACTGATTGAAAGGACTCAGTTTGACTGTGCTAGTTGCAGAACTCCCCAAGGGACAGCAAATTTGTAATTCAACTACTAAGAAAGAATTTCAGATCATCCCTATGTAAAAGAACAAAAAGGGACCTGAGCGGGAGGGAAGCTGTCTAAACTCTAAATTACATCTTGTGTACTGTTAGTTAAATGCTGATTTGGTTTACTTTTCTGGTGGTAAGGTATGCAGTTGCTCATTGTTCTCTTTATAGCAATGTTTTAAATGCAGTAAGACTTACCATAGCTCTCCTCGGTCCCTCTATTTAGGCTAACTTCACCAGGTCCTTAAAGTTAGACTGAGATACACTTTTTACTAACTTTTTAGCAAAGGGAAAATCTGGCTTCCTCTTCTCTAGGATTTTTACTTTGGTTTTACTTTGATCAGTAATTCATAGGAAGGTGTGTTATAAGCCTATGTCAACTTCTCTTAAATAGGTCATGCCTAGCCCACTTGCTGGAGGACTCAGGAAAGCAAGGAACTCCAGGGGACTGCAAGTAGGTTTGATTATTATGCAGCAGCCTTGTTCTCAGTGTAGCATCCAAAAATTGAAATATAGGTGGGAACGTGTAGATAAACAGAAAAACTTCCATAGTAAGTCTGTGACTTACAGTGAGCTTTAAAACCACTTATGTTGTATGTTGCCTCTTGTATTTTTTTTAATGGACAAATAAGCATCCACCATATTTAGGGAGACCTTTATTTTAGTTTTTAGATCCTTATGATGGTGATTCAGAAGATGCATCCATTCACTCTGACTGTAGCTTGAATTCTTTAAAGAGTATGAAAGCTGCACCATGGGCAAACAGTGCCCCAAAAGCAATGGCTTTGGAGGATGCTGATACTTCAGAAGATGGTGAGTCCTTCCCTAAACCTCCAGGCTGGCTCTGCCCAGAAACGAGTGTCAGTGAAATTCACACAGTAAATGACTGTAAGGCACCCCTGGAACTTCCTAGCCAAGAGGAGGATTTCCCCAGAAGCCTGTTGCAAGCATCTGAACTGACTAGAGCCACAGAAGCCTTTACCTCCATGTGGCCAACACCTGACCATTCCTTACTGATGAGTATTAACCCTTCAGTCTCTGCAGATCTCCTTCTAAGCCCAGGTAACAGTGCTCCACAACCCATACTAGCAGCTGACTGTGATGGCACAATGGCCAAACAGCCCCTAATTAAAAGAAAACAAGGGATTTCCATTCCAGAGGGTGCTAGTGAAAAACTCGGAAAGAAATTCCGTGCAACTTGATCTGAGGTATGAAGAAATCATTGGACAAACTGTTCTAAAGAATGAACCCGGTAGAGATTTCTTTTGCAGATGGTACCTGAACTGAACAAGCTTTAAACAAACTAGCTCAAGCCTGTTAGAAATGCAGCTGTGCTGTGTAATGCAGGCTTTGAGATCCACCTGAAAAGATAGAATCAACTAAATAAGCTTGTATGGCAATTTAAGTGAAAACTGACTCAGGTATGTCCACAGAATCACAGCTAAGCTTTATGCCTGGCTGCTACTTTGGTGTCTGGGGCCTCTTGAAGCATCAGTCCAACTCCTGTATTGTGTGCCTGGAGGCACCTGCTCAGTGTCAGCGTAATTTCAGAAAGGTATTTCAAGGGATTGTTGAGGGAAGGAAGAATGACTGCATGGTTGCGATTAGTTTTTCAGTAGCTATAGCTTACCTCATGTCAGTGTTTGGATCTTCCTATGTCTGACCTACTGTACGAGAGGAGGGAAGTAGCTGTATGGTGAATGATCATACAGGGTTGATTACAAACAACTAAATTGCATTAAGTTGAACTGATTGCAACTAAAGGCAATCCAGCTTTTTTTTTTTTTTTCCTTCAAAGAGGAAGAAGTTGACTTGTGCTACATCTGTTCCTGTTTTCAACAATGTTTTAGGTATATAGTCTCAGTATACCTGCCAGTTTAGAATTTGCAATGTGAAGTTGAACACATGAGCTGAAAGCACTCTTCTTCCTTAGTGAGAACGCTCATGAGCTGCAGAAGTGGTGCACACAAATGGGAGGCCAGTTAGTCAGCAAAAACTCTCACTCTGATCTCCCTCTCCTGTATGGTAATTTCTTTTTTATCATGTTTAGAGTCTGGGTAGGCCATTTACATGGAAGGGGAACTACTATCTAGAAAAGTGTAATGATGATTTGAAATATGTTGGTACCAACTACCTGTGAAAGCATTCATTCTGTATGACTGGCAGAGATTTTTATTTTGCAGTTTCATTCACAAGGTGGAAAGCCATTTAAAATACTATTTAACTTCTAGCCTTGCACCCTTCCACTAACATCTGCATATTTATTTTATTAAAGCAACTTTGCTTTCTCCCTTATCCCCATTCTGGAGATACAGAGAAGGTTTTAATCAGCTTGGAAACAAAGCTGTTAGAACAGTAAGATACAGTAGCTTATGTCTTAGGGCAAAGGCTTCTGAGCTTGCCCTCTGACCTGCCCCAGCAGCAAGGAATGCTGCAGCTGGAGCCATTTACAGTGAACACAGTCCTTAACTCCTTGAAGATAGCTGTGAAGTTAACTGGAAAAAAAAAAACAAACCAAAAACCCAAACAAACCCAAAACCACTGAACGCCCCAAAAACCCTCACAGCTATAGATTTGTGTGTACTGGCACTAGGCCACAGATCTCTCTAGAATTAAGATTTGTGAATGGTCTGAATGGTCTTCAACCACCTCCTCTGAGACTAAATAAAACTGAACTGCTGACCTTCAGCTGCAGCCAAGAACCCTAAACTCATCTAGTGAGGATTTCACTTAAACCAGTTATTTAACCCAGCATACTGAAACAAATAATCCACTAGAAAAAATAATACAGGAACAATCAGGTAAGAAATAAGTTGAAGGGTAAACCACATGGGACAGTATTTACTCAGACATTCAAAGTCTGCTTATTCACTATGATAATCCAACCGTGGGTTAACTTCTGAACTGAAAATGCACCTTTTGTTACTTCAGGCCTAATGCAGAAGTTAACACGTAAAGAGCTGAATAGTTTGGGAAGCTCTAGCTACTTCAAGCATATTTGAGACCATCTTGATCTCATCATTAGTATTTGCTAATAGGTGGAACTGGTTTCACTGAAGATTTTTATAGTAGCTGTAAGCTGGTACCACAGCCCAGGTGCTGAGCTATGCACAAAAAGCAGTAGCTGAAAGGTGCATGTTCAGCTGAGCTGCTAATAGCTAGAACTTACTTATACATATTTTAGCTAATACTTCACACTACAGCTGGTACCCAGAGCACACTGCTAGCAGTAGGTCTGCTTCCTTACTGTACAACATATTTCAAATGATCCTGGGGAAAGTGACAGTATAAGTTCCAGATACTACTATTCTGGTGATGGAAACAAAAGCAACTCATAGAAGCTGAAACAGGACAAGGACATTATGTGACGGTTAAAGCCGATCTTGGCTGATACATGTAGTTCCCAACTCTGTTCATCAAAATTGGATGAGAACTACAAGAAGCAGACAAAGACTACCTGATGTGCTGGTCTAGGATTCATTCTTTATAAGGGAATAAAACCAGACAGGACAGTTCAACCTACACAGATTAACTATAGGAGCTACAAAACAGTATGGAAAGGGTAGACAGCAAGAATTCTTTATTTTAATAACTAGCAGACATCAAATGAAACAAGCATCTGAAGCACGCTGAGGTAACCACTTAGCACAGAAAAAAATTAATTAGAGTAGGACAAGAAAGTCTTGTTTAGGATACTTTAGCTTCTGAATGCATCTCAGCAGCTGCGTAAAAGCAGGTTACTTCAAGCAACAGCCAGTTCACTGCAAATAATTCATGCAGTGTCATCAGATGTCATAGCAGATATTGTCACGCTGTGTGTCTTACTGTGCTGAAGACTTACTTACATTCCAAGGTTCTTGTTACTGGAGGTTAGCTGAACCAGCTGCTGAGTGAGCTGTATGAAGGTCAACGATACGCTTGACCACTGACTTACTACTTGTTATTCTCTGAAAAGATCATAGGTACAGTTTTTCCAGACCAGAAAAATCATTGTAAGAATTGTATTTCCAGAAATAGAGTCAAAAGTCTTGCTATAGATTTTATTTCATATAATATGATCCATCAAGTATCACATCTACGAATAACCATCTAAAAATCTCATCCAGTTTTCCTTCAAAGAAATCTAGCCTACCAGCTTTCCAATGCACTGCCCCTTTCTAGTCAACTTAACACAAATCCATCTGACAGCCTAACCTAACCAGGCTACAAAAGGTACAGGTGAATAGTACACAGAACACTGACAATTACTACAGCATTACCAGTCAAAACAAATCTTTTCACTCGGTGCAGAGAACTGCAACACCACGTTCATAGAAGCTACGAGGGTCTTCCTTGGTAGCTATTTCGAAGTCAACCGTGAAAATGAGATCAGCACGAGTGAAGTTCAGATAAACTGGTAAAGTAACCTGGGGAAAAACATGAATATAGAAGAAGAGATATGTTAAGGCAGCTGAAGAGCATGAGAAGTTTCTATAATGCTACATGGTATTTATGAGATGGGAATTTAGTCTCAGATAACTCAATACCCAAAATATGAGAAAAAAATCAAGCCTAATAAATTCACCTAAAGCACAACCTTCTTTATAGATATAAATACAAGTTTTGGCCTGAACAGCATTAGTATTTTTGGATGCCTCTCCTCCTTCTTATCTAACTACAAAGGAAAGACCTAGTCAACACTAGGTCTGTTTGCTGCTAGCCCAGAATTTAGGTACCAACTGACACTGAGAATATTAGAAAAAGACAATTTGATTTGTGGTGCCCGATAACAGTATCCATAAAGCCTCAGGAAAAAAACTACTTGGTAGATCTAATTATGAGAGTTCTTTTTAAAATTATTTTTATCAGTACTTACAACATTTGCTTTTTTATCAGCATTTGTCTGCTTGATCCAGCGAAGCTGTGTAATGGGCAGTACAGTTGAAATAGCATTCGAAAGCGACAGCTTGTTATTACTGCATGTAGCTCCCTGCAGCTTCAGGCCTGTAAATTGAAATACACTTTAGAGTTCTAAGAGCTTTCAATACATCCAAAGACTGTCTCCCCATGTATCATTTAAAGGCTAAGGCCACTAAATGAGAGATAAGTATTTCATACCACAAAATAAAGAGGTTGTAGCAGATACACTATCCAATACTGCTTAAATATATACTGAGTGTCTTGAGATTTACTAGCATTATAAGTACTTCCCTACTAATGCCAAGCTAATCTTTAAACAACTTCAGAAAGTGTGTATTAACTTTTCAATGATATGATCTTCTTCATTTGATACAGCCCATTTAATTCCAGAAGCTTCTGAAAATATTTTAGAGCAAGGACCTCCTTCTTTAAGTTTACCTGTCACTCCAAAACTGCACGCATCCAGTACTGCATTCTGTGTAGTTGTAACATTGACCTCAAGACAGAGTTCTTCAAGGGACCAACTGTTTGCTTGGGCAACATATTGTCTTGTAGCAGTAATATATGCCTCTGGTACAAACAGGCCACCAAGGCACACGTGGATGTTCTATTTGAGGGGGAAAAAAATTTTTAAAAAGGGTATCAGCTGCAGTATTAATTAATGGTTATCATAAATACTACTTCAGCAATCTACTTACACTAAAATTTTCTTGCTGCTACTGGAACACTGTGTAACTGCTAAACTGCTTTTTGCTCTAAGGCTACATCTACTGTCATTCTAAAATACTAAGTTTCCCTCTAATCTGTATGAACAGTTAGCCTGCTAAGCCCCACCATTTTGAGATCAGGAGATACAACAGTATTTACAAGCACATTTTGGAGAATATTGACTGAAGTTGTTTTGCCTGAGGAACTATTTAGAAGTCTTGATGTGAAGACTCCATGAAGTAGTTATACAGCTCCACCTGAATTACGTATAACCTCTAGAAAAAGTCAGCACAAGATACCTTTAGTTCTTTTGCTCCACCAGAAGCAGCTGCCTGGGAAATATTCTGCAGCTGTTTAATGCGCTCACTGAAGTCAGACACCCACTGAATAACAGTCATACCAGCTGGCACTGTGTAATGAGACCAGCTACGAGGCAAAATACCTGTGAAAAATGTCATTAGAATTAAGTCTTGTTTGCATACAAGTTGGAATTACACACTATTTTGACACTTTACTTTCTCTCCCGATAGCCATTTAAGACTTGGACCAGGACATCAGCCTCTATCTTAAAAGGCTCCTCAGTAAGTGAAAGAACTTTCAAGGATTACAAAACAAATGGCCTTCAGATCTAGTATTTATTTAAAATACCATCCAGTTACAGAAACCCTTCAACAGCAACTTCAGTTACACACAGCTATATACTGCTGTAACTGATCTTCAAGCTGTGGTGAAGATTTGAATCCTTTAGAAAAAATTAAAGAGGTCAAGTGTCTGTGTTTTAGGAAATGCTTTTGTTCAAAGCAGACAGCAGACCTTCACGTACTAGAAGTAGGATGTCTATGAAAATTCCACCTTTATGTACAATCTTGAAACAGAAGTTTAGAGAACTTGAATATTTTCTAGATTTTATAGGAGCAATATTACTCACTTTGTGGTATAAATAACTTTGTTCCATCATAATTCAGAGACTGAAAGAATTGAGAAAGATTCCAGCTTAGAAATTAAGCTGCTGATATAAGCTGTACAAAAAAGCCTAATATTACCTACTTCAACTTGAAATCCCAAACCAAACCAATTGGAATTTTATGTTTGACTTTAAAGTATTCCTTCTGTCAAATGGTAAAGTCAATCCCAATTTTCCTGCAATTTTTTTTAAGCTGCTGAGCATAATAGCCTCCATCTTAGAGAGTGCAAGAGGCAAAGAGAGCACTGGGAGATGCTAATTTGAATTACCATACCTTTCACCAGTTCATTTATAAGTGTACGCAGATAGTTGGTTTGTTTCTTTTTTCCTTCACACACTTGAACCACATCTGCAAGGTCCTGACGAACATCCTGAAGCAGCTTAGCTCCCATTTTCACCTCTCTCTCAAAGAATCGGAACAAAGGATCCTGATTGTCAAAACATTGAAAGTAAGTTGCACATCAAAGTTCAAGATTCTTGCTGGAAAACTGCTACAAAAAGCAACCCTCAAATCCTGTATGGACTGACCACAGACACTGTGACTATAAGCACTAAACACGAGTATGCAGTCTACGGTGCAGAAAATGATTGCAGAGACTGTTTTAGAACCAACAATCTCCTCTCCCTTGGAGAAGCAAGAAAGTAGAAGTCTTAGTTGAACGATTAATGCAAACTGCCTACTGCAGCTCCTTCCAATCAACTCTGGATTTCTTTTAAACAGCAACAAAAGGTTCTCGCCTACTATCCCAGAGTAAGTCTTTACAAGCAGTTAGGCAATCATGGGCATATTCAATTGGGGAGCTTATTCCTGAGTTAGAGCTTAGGGTACTACTGTCCAGATCTCAGAAGTTTCCTCCAGCTCTTGCAATTTCTGTTCCCAGTTAGCAGAAGCTGCTGCCGTATCTCCCCTCAGTAATTGATGTGCACTGGCTCTAAAGGCAGTATCGTAAGTACCAAGTCAGTGTGCTAGAAGTACAACAGGAAGCACTTGTTTCTTGCTACCTGATCACAGAGAAGCTTCAGAAGTGGTACCCTCGGACAGACAGTTTGCCATTGTATTTCTTCAAATAACCCCCAGAATACATAAACCAACTTTTAAGAGCATTTCAAGAAATGCAGCAGGGCATTACATAGCTATGGCAGTCAGAATCAGCAATGATGCAGGTTCCATTGTCCCCCACCACAGTTTAATGAGTACTTGCAAATCACAATGCACTTCCAACGTCCCAGAATTTGTGCACTTCCTATGCTCACGTTAGACAAAACTTAGTCCTTACCTTAATGTTTTCCACAGTTCGCTTCAGATGGTTTAGAGTCTGTGGGATAAGGTGAAGCCAGTTAGAGGCTGTGGTATGCAGTGTTCTCATCCAGGCTGGGCGGCCATCTGATGTAGAATCAGTTCTTGTCTTCTTCTCAGTTTCTGCATAAGCTAGATCATCCTCATCCTCTAGCATCTGCATTTTCAGCATTTTACTGATCATATCTATGCCTAAAACAGCATATATGCTGTTAGTCAGAGAAGCAGTGGCATCAAGGCAAAAACATTCTACTACATGCAAGAACTAGGACTTTTCTTTTTCCCTAGTCTAGACCTAAGATACAGAACTGACTAGCTATAGGTGGCTCCAGAGCTAACAATAAAGCTTTCCAGAATCAAGATGGGAGCTTGACATCTGGAAAGTCAAGTGTTTAATTCACAAGCTTCTAGTCAGTTTTTGGACTGCTCCAGCATTTTACTTTGCAGAAGTTAAACCAACTATGTTGAGGGAGGAGGGGAAAGCTATTACCTCTTCAGTAGGATTTGTATTTCTCTTCTGCTTTTTAGTTAAAACGGTGGCCTGGTAATCTATGCAAGACATTGTTAAAGTTCTGATTTTACCTTGTGTGGTGAGAAGAACTTTTTCTGCATTATTTGGCAGGCCCAGCCATGATGGCGTTTGTGTGTCTGGCAGCATCTCAACCCACTGGACAAATTCTTCACGCCTGCAAATCAGAGTTTTAATATTCATTAGAAGGTTTCCCCATTCTTTGCCTGAGACAAATGTTTACACAGCTAAATTCCAGCACAGAGATACAGGTTAGGGTTTTTCTGTTGGTGGTGTTTTGGCTTTTTTTTTTAAATTTTAAAAAAGAAAAGTTGTACACAGAGATCAGGATAAGGAAAAAATGATACCTGATTCCATCTGGCATCTGAATATCTTTGTGTCCATCAACTTTGCAAGCCAGTTTGAATTCACTATCAAAACTTAAAGTAGTGAACAGACGTTCCAAGAAAGTGTTTAACAAACGTTGATCAAATTCATTATCGATGCGACCTCCATAGATAGACTGTGCCATCAGTGTCTTTAATGCAGACCAGGGGATTTTATCAGGTGAGATGTTTTGGCGGCCCTATAAATAAAATGCAATGTAATTAGCAGGAAACAATCCTTTTCACCTCTCCTCTGAGACAGGAATCAAGTTAAATTGCCACCAGGTTATTTGAGCCTACTTATCTAACTTACTAAATGCTTCCAGAACAGACTGCCTCACTGAAGATCTTAAGTAATCTAAGTATTACCTATACCTAAGTACACAAAGCTACTTGCCTTTGCTGTATCATCAAGCCATGTATCTACTGTGTCACAGGCAGATCTCAGATCAGATTCTCCAAATTCATACTTCTTGGACCAACCCAATGGGGCATAGCGCAAACGCTCTTGGATAATGGCATGGAACCACGCAAGGAGGAAATATAAACGAGCACGCTCATTTGGAGACTAAGAAGTGGAGAGAACAAAAAAAATAAATACACTTATTACACAAGTGAACTGATAATCACAGCTTGCTAAAAGGCTAGAAAAAAAATCAGACTTAATGCTAGATTGCTACCAAAACTGAATACATTCGACCAACAGAAAGAGCAACTACTACTTTATTTCTGTGAGAACAGAAAAATTCTATATAAGTTTTATCATCTTTTTCTAAGGTAAGATTTTAACAAACACATCGTGACATTTCCTTTCAGCCACACAAGCCGCAGCCTTACCTTGCACATTCTAGAAACCGGAATGCTACTGAAAGTCCTCAGCATATTTGCCTTTACACCAGGAGGAGGTTCAAACACGAAGATTCGGCCAGCACGTAACAAATTCACTGGCACCTAGGAGAGAAAAGATCAATGAACTCACATCCAACTCCTTTAGCCTTCACTAAATTAAATCCCTCTAACAGCACAGTTTGCATTAGATTCAGAACCTCGCTGTGAGCACACACAGTGATGTCCTGCCTTTCTTTGGAAGGGTAGGGGAAACAGCAGAAAGAATGGTATGAAGTTTTCAGCTACAATTAAGTTATCAGAAACCAAGGCTAGTAACTACCCTGACAAGCACGTATTCTCCTCCTCCTTTAATGCAGAAAGGTAGAAATGAGAAAACCTTCCCTGGGTAGCACTCTTGGCTCTGCAAGCCAGTATTCTATCAGAGCATCAAATTTCAGATCAGTGTTACCTTTGGATTAATCTCCATGGTAAGGAAGAGTCTGAAGCAAGCATGGGGTTGTAGGGAATGCAGCTTCTTTTCTAGTTGCATGAGCCAGCCAGGAGCCAAGTGAACGTTCTTCAGCATTACCCATCTGTGAAGTTTTGAAGAACAAGTGCTTTTTAGTGTACAGCTTATGGATCCTGGCTATAATCACCACAAAAAGTAACAGAATGTTGTATTAATGCTACAGTTTTTCCTCCCTCTTTAAAATCTGTCTTCTACATAGAATCAGTTACAGTCTACTGTAAATGGCATAACTTTTCTGTTTTGCAGATACAACCTACTTCTCTTGAAAATATTTAAATCAAATAGGTTGTGAATAGCTGTGCTTAAGTTTACAAATTTCAGTTCAGAAGACAGTCCCAATTTCTTTAACCAGTTTTACCTATTTAGCCAATGATTATTTCCCTCTCCCCCCACCACTTACCTTTCTACTAGACAGTATTCTAGCTAAAAAGGAGATAGAACTTACCTTCCAGATTTCACTGCTGTGTTTATTGCTTTATCTGCTTGGTTAAACCCTTCAGCAGAACCTAAAAGGCAGAAGATTGCTAAAGCTTTTACTGCTAACGATTTAATTTATGCTTAGATGATGAAATGTGGTATGTTCTTACCAATAGCAATAGAAGTAATCTGTGTATTCTGCTCAGCTGCAAGGTCTTCAACATGACCACTGGCGTCATAACCAGGCACTGAGCACATCAGCACAGGGGTATTAGGTTTCACCTATTGTCCAAGAAGTTTAAGAGGATACAAATAAGTCACTACATGAATACAAGAATGCAGTAAGCTCAGTTCTTCTTCCCTCTGGCCAGCTAAAGACATTATGCTACTCTTAGTTTTACATTGCCAAATAGGAAAGCAATCCCTTCTTCATACCTTGGGGAGAAGGATAAATAGAAGAAATTTTCCAGTGGATAGCTTTACTCACTATGGAACCCATGCAAGGTGGCACTGAGCATTACACCTCAGGATTTTAGCCTTTCAAAACCAAGCAGGTTACCTCTGTATCTACGATGTGTGTCAGATCTAAAGGCTGCTCCATAATGGACATGAAAGACTCTCCAAGATTTGTGGAAACAAAGGTATGTGCCATCGCCAACAAACGATCTGGACGGAAGGCCTGGATCAGAAGCAAGCGATGAATGGCTTGTCCAATAGGAGCTGAAAAAGGGAGACAGGATTAGATGGACAGGTAAGAAAACATCCTCAACACCTTCCTCTTTTCAATTCTCCATTGAATTTTTCCCATCTTGTTCTGACAACCAGGTATTTGGAGAGTTAATTATCCCTGTGAAAGATCTGTTACAACATATTAATGGATTCCTTATATTCTGTCTTCACTTTGACAGTCAAAAGAGACTTCAGTTGGTTTGTCTTCTGTGACATTTTAATTACCTGCTCAATTGCTTATGCTGTGAGCCCTTTAAAAGCCTACCTTGACAAGATGCCTTTGCATTCTACTGAAATGCTACTGGTTTACAAAATCTGCAGTCTAGAAGTATTGCCACGAAGTGATTTGAACTTCCAGAGACAACAGAGCTCTTCACATCTTCTCATTCATTCAATAATCTGCCTTTCTGCTAGATTTTGAAGTATTATATACTTGCCTAGCATGGATAGGATAGATAACCTAGAGTTGCTTCAGTTAACAGTCAAGCAGCTTTATGGTAGCTAGTAAATACAAGCTTAGAATCCTTAATTTAGAAAGCCACCTACAGGAGCGAGCCCTGAATGCTCACAGATGACAAACATTTCCAAATGTTACCTTTCGGATAGGGGAGGAGCTGAAGGGCAACGGTTATCCTTAGGCTCTAACTCTTAACAAATTAGCACTAACCACTAATGCAGCAAGAATTAATACTTCATACTTAGATAAAACTGCAGGAGGAAACATTCTAGTAGACCAGCCCTGTCCTCAGAAAATCTGTGTCTTGGAGCTTTTTAGAGTATTGAGCTGCCTCCAGATTTGCAATGACTAAGGTCAATCCAAACTATTATTCAATCTAATGAGACTGTGGAGGTATATTTCACCCTCAGTGAAAGACCACATCACAGGTTAAAGTGCAGGAACCAAGTGTAGTGACTACTGCTTAAAAAAAGTTTGGGTTTTTAAAAAAAAAAAACAAAACCACAAAAACAAAAAAACCCAACACCAAACAAACAAAAAATCCCCAAACACCCCCCCCAAACCCAAAACCACCAGACTTGAGATTCTTCCACAATCCCAACTTTACAATTTTCCCAGGCATTAAGGTCCAAATTAAAGTTCTACTTTAGAATTGCTTTAAAATCATAGTAATTCTACTTAAAGTCAGTACAGTAGGACTGGTGTGGACAATACCGCAACTTAACTTACTTGCAGGTTTTTCTTCAGTCCAAAGGTATGGTACAGTCTGCTCTGGTGAACTGCTATCCAGCCAGATACAGAATTGCTATATTGAAAGAAAATGCAAAAAACGTGAAATGCAGTTTCACAGCATCAAAAATCTGCTGCAAGGTGCAGGTTCTGTTCATGGTGCAACAGAGATGTTCAATCTCAGCCTTAAAATCTAGAATTTAATGTACTGCAGAAGTCTTCAGCTACATACCAACTTCCAGTAGGCAACAAAGATTGCGAGGGTAGGGTTGAACTTGGTACAGTCCAAGCTTCGCTAGCTTTGCATTTGCAAACAGATCTTTAAAAATTCTAATAAGTAGCTAAATGTTTAAACAATGAAATGCACAAGTTCCTAAGATTTTTCCCATTTAATGCTCATATCTTATCATCTGTCTTTAGAATAAAAATTTAGGTTGAGTACCAGATGAAGCATTTGAGCTTCCATTACAAGTAAGTCTTGAGAAATAAGACAGGGCTAACACTGTCAAACAGAAGCACTATTATATTAAAGAAATTAAGTCAAACATTAAACTTAGCCCCAAATATTGTCCAATACTCAACACAGTTTGGTCTTTTCCAAGGCTTCTACATATAAATGGTTTGAGCGTTTCATATATAAATGGTTTGAACGTTTCCCTGAGCAAGACTGCAATTTGACCAGCACATTTAGTAAATTCTCAAGTCATTCTTCTTCAATGAATTTCTCCAAATTCTGGTTTTTTTTAAACAAAAATCCACATGTAAAACTCAAATTATGCCTAGTTTATTATGCTTTCTTTATATGTGTCCAATCATTTCACTGATATCCCCTAATTCTGCATTGCCTCCAGCACCCTTGATTCTACAGATCTCTACCAAGTCCCAGCCCAAGCTATACATTATTTTACCCCAGGTTGAAGAATTTGAGGAAAATTAGGTGCAGCAAAGAAAATTCAACTTTCAATATAAAAACTAGGCAGGGCAATGAAACAGATACTATTTAAGATATGGACATATTTTGGAACATGCAGTTCACAGTCAGGACAGATGTATTCTTAGAACACTTTGGTCATTAGAAGGAACGAAGCATTCAGCAGCTGAGCACTACCCAAATTTATTCCAAATAGTACTGTCCAAGAGCCCACCATAATGATGTTATGTATAGCTTGGGCTGCTCCCGTCTACTGCATAATTATCACACAACAGTGATACAGTAAAAGACATGCAGTATCACACTTTCTGCTACCACAGGAACCAAAGCTGACCGCAAAGTCAGATGAATGGTGAAGCTGCTTCCAAAGCCGAGTGATGAACAATGCTGGTATTTACAACCCAAGTTTCATAGCTTGATTACAAATGAAGTAAGAACATTCATTTCCACAACAACTACAACTAGTTAATCTGTAAGGCTTCCTTTCTCATACTAGGAGAGCTTACTTGTAAGCACAAAGCTCTTAAAACAGACACCTAAAAAGCTTTACCAGGTAGTTTAGTGCAGAAACAAACCCTAGCCAACACTTACCTCATCAGCTTGAACTTTTGAAACAAGGTCCTTAAATGCAGGAAGGCAGCTCAACCTCATCATTGCTTCTGTTTGCTCTACAGTCAAACCATTGATTTTTGGGAGAGATGCAGTGTTTAGTACAATCTCCTTCCCTCTCAAGAAATGCTGGAATTCTGCATCATACGTAGGCTCCCTAATGTTAAGGGAAAAGATGACGTTAGCTAGGTGCCTTCCAGGCATCCCTCCCTTTTCAACTAAAGTGAAGCGAGAAAACAAATGTTTACCCAATAGTGCCTTTCAGTTTAATCCGGGCCAGCAACATAGCAAATGTTATATGATCTTGATGCAGCATGCCACGTGCCACTCTATTGAAAGCCACCTACCAACAAAACAGTGAAGTTAGCAGCATAAGAAGCCTTGAACTCTGACCTTCAAAAATGATTGAAGAACTACATTTACTAATTAAAAAATTGAACCTGAAAGAGATCCTTTGTGATGATTGACAGCCGCTGGGTATGATCTGTAATTCCCTTCAGATTTGGGTTCTCATACAAGACATTGTGATAGATGTCCAAGAAAAACTGGAGAGAGTATTGGTACAGGAAATGTATCTGAAAGACAAAAGAGTTTGGTTTTGCTCTCTAGAGTCCTACTGTTTGACAGTTAATGGCTTATGCCTACCAAACTGCAATACAGCAGCCAGGGCTGGAATTACGCAGTGCCTATTTATAGCTTTGAACAGTAAATACATGAAGCTTCTGGTAGGAGGAACAGCTCATCCTACCTGTTTCAGTGATTCCATAGTAAAGTAGATACTGCTGCATGCTGTAGAAAGAGGCAAGTACTGCTGAGAAACAGTCTCCACTTCTTGCATGACAATATCAGTCTCTTCTACTTTTCTGGTGACCTCTGCTGCTTCCTTCTTCAGGTTCTCGAGAGTAGTAATGATGGTGTCGTCATCCAGGATACGTCCCTTCACTTCATTAAGCGCTTGTAGTAGGGATTTTTCTAACTGACGCAAGCGCAGCTGGAATTCACCTTAATTAGAAGAAAAATTCAGTTATATATTGTATAAACGTGTTAGTTTTTAAGAATTACATGAATTGTGTATGCTTTGCCACAGGACATTCTAAAAAAGGAAGAATATTAGCTATAAAGATATTTCACTGTGTATTTCTATAGCTACAGTAAAACCACTGCATTCTTTTAGAACAGGAGGAAGTTACTTTAATTTTGGTAAGCATACCCTGAAGCTTGAGGAGGTCAGAACGTTTTTCATCAACATCTGGTCTTTCAGCTTTCAGGACTTCATTCAGACACTGGCTCTGCAAGCTGCTGCGAGTTACTGTAAAGTTCACAAATGTAACACGAGAGCAGAGGTCCGGTGGGAATTCAACCTGTCACAAGAAACATGAAAAACTTTCTCAGCTCTCTGACATACCATTTCTACAGCAGGACAGCCTTTTGTTTTACTTACTGTTGGATCTCTGGTGGAGAGGAAGATAACGAAGGATGGTGACAGATCAATATCTTGGTCTCCCAGAGTAATCAGAACTCTGCCTCCAGTTCTCCGGACTTCACGATTCAGAACAGGATTCAGAACTGGATCATAGCTCTCCACATCCTAGAAGCAGAGATGTGTTGAGAGATTCTGTTTCTTGCAAGTGTCTCAACCTAAAAATCCCGATCCAACTGGGGCTTAAAGGTCTGGTAGCAATCAATTTGTGGTTGGTTTTGAATATAGATCAGAAGGTATCTCCACTTTAGATTTGTAGTTGAGCTACACAAGCACAGAGTTTAGGCTATTACCATAAAAAATGTCAGTAGGGGAGTAGTATTATTGTATTAGCTCTAATACATAATAAGCCCTATTCTAAGCAGCACATGCAATGGTTACTGATCTTATCTGTGAGCTAATCCTTTGTCTTCCCATTTCCATACTAAGAAACAAAAAATAGATCCATCTCAAGTGTACATCAACTATTCCTACAGTTACCGATTTCTTTGTATTACTGAAACTTCTTCCTGCTACTCAGAATAGATTCAATTCTAGATAACTAGCCATATTAGGTGCTATTATCTACAACTAGAGATAGCATATGAGAACAAAAGAACAGAGAGGTTGCAAGTCATTTTACAGAGTGGAAGTAAAGATCATTTGAAAATAAAAGCATTTGATCTTAAATTGGTGGGAAAAGGAAATACCTTCTTTTGACTGTGTTTATCTCACTAATATTTTTCTCAGCTAACACCTCACATATCACTCAGTACTAGTTTACTTGTTAAATTACAGTTTGAAAATAAAGTTGTTTGCATCTTACTAACAGAACAATTGCAAACTTTTCTAGTAGGGCAGAATTCAACAATTTTTGAATAGTTTCTACATGATCATGCAACTAACCTGTACCAGAAGTGGGTTACCAAATCTCAAGGCACTTTCCAAGTTCTTCCTGAAAGCATCATCCAAGAAACTAGTACGAGTTATCTTACGGTCTTTATATTCATTCATGATAAACTCTGTAGCTTGCCCAGAGGGATCGATGATCAATGGATACCTAAGTTAGTAATAAAACACTTCCATTATTTGGGTTTTGAATGTAGATAGCCTCTGAGCAGTTTTATGTATTTAGGTTGCATTACTAGTCTCAACTCTAAAAGCTTGTATATTGAAGGAGTAAGTTGGCCAGGTTCAATGACTGACTTCAGTTCGGTTTTGAAAGGTAAGCCTGTATTTGGACAACAAAATGGCTTCAGTTCAAGCCAAATTATTTTAACAGCTAAGCATAACAAAAATGCAAAGATGAGAAGCTTTTACAAACATCAGATGCTCCCACAACAGTGAAACAGTGCTTTGAAAGAGTTACTGTGATTCTTTGATAGGTGCAAAACCCAGCCTGCTGTGAGAATGTTGCTTTAGAATTCTACATCTTAGACTGAAATACCTATTGAACCGCTTGAGCATGATGGCATTCTCAGTGCACAGGTCATCTGCAGGTAGAGAACTTGCTTGCCAGCGAAGCCGCTCATCTGCATTGGAAAGGTACTCTGTCCTTGCAATGTCTGTACGGAACTGCAAGAAGTACATATGGTTAGTATTTGAGAAGAGATTCTCCAACTAGCTGGTGAAGATGTTTTGAGTATATGCAGCTCTGCAAGGTATTCTTTTCCAATAGCTTTTTACTTAGCAATCTTAAAACTTCTTTAACTGTTGCAGTAAATTGATTTATGGTTAACTTCTCATGACCGTATCTTTACCTGGATATTTGCTTGCTGCAAATGGTGAGACCACGTAGTGAACAGATTCTGACGCATCTGCTGATCAAAATAGCCAGCATAGGCAATAAAAGCTCCTGAAAGTAAACAGTCTCCTGCAATAGTGGACATCTGGTTCTTGAAAGTTTCACTTGTCTTTTCCCATCTTTCACGTTCAGCAGAAAGACTCTTCAGAAGAGCTGTGCTACGGTTTACCTAGAAATAAGTGGTGAAGTAGTCTCTTTAGATGATAAATTGTTATAGTATTAGATATCTCTGGGGACACTTATATTGACTCAAGGCCCAAGTTAAATTTAAAGGCTCAGAATGAAATTAAATTGGTGTTTTTCCACTTCAGTGTTAATTTATTATGTTGGTATTCAACTGTTATTTGGAAGAATTTAGAAGTGTAAGTGCTGGCATACTAGTGACATGCTAATAATTAGATCAAGTACATTGGGAATTCCGCCCCCCCAATGAAGTCCAGTTAAGACATTATAATTACACTACATCCATGCCTCATTCCAAAGGCTTCCCAGTTATTTTAAGCCTTACGCGAACTGTCTCATTAATCAACTGGCAACATGAGTTGGTATTTCTAACTCCAGCCATGTTTCAGTAGCTTAAGAAGTTCGTGAGATCCAGGGATGAAACAGACAGCTCAGATGCAATGCACAGGGAAAGCAACCAAGTCTGCTCACAGGTTTGAAGAATGGTTCCATTTCTGACTGTCAAAGATTAAAGAACAGAAAACTACTGATATATAAAAGTCTTACTTTTGCTTCTACAGCAGCCAAGTCTGCCTTAATAGCTTGAGCCTCTGAAATCAGTACTGCGTATTCTTCTTTGTAACGGGCAATACTGGCCTCAAGATCACGAATCATCTGCTCTACTTCATTTGCTTTCTGCTGGTTGTCTTTGGCATCATCCTCCAGCTTCTGCAGTTCATTGCGTAGAGGTTCTACTCTCTTCAACATATCGGCATAGTTCAGCTGTAAACAGTAAACAGGCCCTTTATACTTTCCAAACCATGTGTTAACAAGAGCCGCAGCATTCAGGTATATATTATCAATTGCATCTTTTCAAGCTTAGGTACTTGCAACTTGTATAAGAATTAATAGCTACTTAACAGAAACTTAGGACTGTTCATTGATCCCTAGAACTCTAGTTTAAACCATGCCCAGACACAAAAATAACTGCTTTTTGCAAGATCCTTTTACTGCTCTGTAGACTTACAGGAAGTCATCTGAAAGGCTGAGACCACACTAAGTAGTGTACAGCACTGTTTTGCATAAATACTTGATTGGGTGTCCATGCCAGTACTGAGCTACTCTGCCTTTCTTAGTAAAGAATTGAGTATAGCCAAGCCACAGAACAATCAGCATAGAACCTATTGGCAAGATTCAAGCTAAACAGAGTCTCTACACATCATGCCATTCATAGCAGGCACAGTTTTAACAAGTCAAGCATACTGCTGTATTGAACACCAACAGGCAAGTGAAACCATCCTCGGATATCTCAGTCCAGGGGCATCTTCCCAAAAGCCTGTTCCTTTAGGAAACTAGTCAAGTATTTAAAAGTCTGCCTAAAAGACCTTAACAGAGCTACATGCAAGTGTGCCCCACTCTGAAGCAAGACATTAGACTGCATAAGTTTCATTAAGAAGATTGCATTTTCCAGCTGAGAAATCTATTGTCCTGTAGAATGACACTACATACACAAAGGATCGGCTATGGTTTACCTAAAGTTTCTTGGTGCAACAGCTGTATCACAACTGGCCATTAGTTCTCTGGCACAGTACTACAGGGCCCAAAGGCATTCATGTGAGCCTTTTACTGATTTCTTTGAACCAGAATAGGTTGCAATATTTAGGTGAACAGAGACAGATTCAGAGCCTTTAGATACTGTTATATGCCTTCAGGCCCACTCTTCACCTTGTGTTTGCTTTCCCACAGTACGGACTTTACCTGTGCAATTGCCCATTTCACCATTGGCCCGCAGGCCAGTGATGCTCTGTTTACAATTTCATAGTTGTAACTTGGATTTGATAGGTAGTTTTTCTTCATCTTCTCCCGGATGGCATCACTGCAAGGGAAAAGTTTTTAGAGACAGTGTGAGTAGACTGTAT